AAAAAAAAATACTGGAGGGGGCTACATTAAATGGTATTTGTGTTAGAGTGATTAAATTGTTTTTGCCAGTTCTGTATATTTAATTTTGTTAAATTTTTTTTTCTTTTTTTTACCTTAAAGAAGACTCTCTTATTTAGTGTTAGAGATACTTCCTTCCTGAGGATTTCTGTCTGGCTCACATTTGCCATTCTCATTTCACTCTAAAAAGGTATGAGCAGCAGCGGGACAATCTCTCCCAACAGTCATTTAACATGGAACAAGCCAATTACACCATCCAGTCATTGAAGGACACCAAGACCACGGTACTTCCACAGCACCTTTTCCCCTGACTTTATTTTATTTTTGTACTCTTGTGCTCTTTTCCCATGGTTTTCAAAAGACAGTTTCACCAGCATGGCTTCTTAAGACATTGTGTCTTCTTTTACCTTTTATTTAGGTTGATGCTATGAAACTGGGAGTAAAGGAAATGAAGAAAGCATATAAGCAAGTGAAAATTGACCAGATTGAGGTGAGATGTATACTGGTTTCTGCATGAATGTCCACAAGTTTCTGAAAGAATCCAAATGAATGTGTGTTTGATGGGAAGGGCACAGAAGAGGGATTGAATCTTGCACCTGTCTTTTACTAGCAGAGTAACTTTGGGAAAGCATACCAGAAGTCTCACTTTCCTTATTGTTAAAGCAAGGATCCTAATACCATATGTGGTTATTATGAGGATGAAATAAATGAGCTGGTGCTATCTACACATACAATGCCTGGCACATAATAAACACCCAATAAATAAGCACCCAGTTTCCTGGTATTTTTAACTCAATGATTTTGAGTCTGTTTCCTCAGTTGTAAAGTAGTGATGTTGCTGCCCATCTCCCAGGATTGTCATGAGTGTTACATGAGGATATACAAAGGGTGCCAAAAAACTGCATACACATTTTAAGGAAAGAAAAAAACTATTAAAATTGTAATACTCAATATATACTGATAACAAAAGATGAATACAAGACATGTTTGACTTCTGCAATTATAAGAAGTGCTCAAAGTGGTTACCATGAACATAATTTCAATAGTTTTTTCCTTTTTTAAGATGTATATACATATTTTTGTCACCCTCTGTACATGTAAAGTGCTTAACACAGTTCCTGGCGTAGAGTTGGTTCCCTTTTCTAGTAATTCTCTTTAGATTTTTAATAATAATGTCATTAGTCATTAAAATGAACATTTCTATTGAGATTGGTTTGGCCGAGAGCTTGGTTCTTCTCACCTCTGTTATGTGAATTAGCCCAGATGGCAAGCAGGGACAGCAGAGGGAGGGAGTGGTGACTGGCCAGAGGAAAGAGGCTTCTCTTCTACAAACACCATGGTGCCCTGACCTCTGCACCCTGAGTAGGATGTCTCTTTCTATGAGCCAGGACTCATTTATTCACTGTTATATTCCCAGTACTTGAAACAATGCCTGGCCATAGTAGGTGCTCAGAAAGTATTTGATGGTTGAATAAGTGAACGAGAGGCTATTAAAGGAGATAAAGCAGTTCTGTCCAATTCAGGAAGTATTTTTTCATTGAGTACTTAACTGTACTGGCATTTTACTGTCTCTACAGAGGTATTCTCTGGGAATGCTGGTCTTTAATAAGTGTGAGGAGTGACAGCATTCCTACACCTTGCCTTTTTTGAGCACTCCTTAGACTGCCTGTGGCCTTCTGTTTAACCCGCCACCAGTCTTTGCTTACAAGTTCAGCTTAGTGATACCATCCAGGAGATTTACTGAGAAAAATGTTCTGTGTATGCTTGTCTTATTTGTACAATACTATTTGATAATAAAATACAATGAAATTTATTTTCTGCTTTTAGGGTTCCTTGTGTTTTAATTAAAGCTACTTAAGAAACAAAATAGGAACTTTGGTCTTTCTTTTTTTTAAAATGTCTCTCCATCTTTCACCTGTGGTTGTCTGTCTCCCTGCCCCTCATTATCCTCTTCCTGTCCCCTAATAGATATGCCCACATGACAGGTGGAGAGTTCTTTCTAACTTTGTGTGTGTGTGTGTGTGTGTGTGTGTGTGTGTGTGTGTCTGTGTCTGTGTCTGTGTCTGTCTCTGTTTGGACTATATATACTTTGAATTTTCACTTGTTTTGCTGAAATACTTGTAAAACATTTTCATTGTTTTAGAGCTCTCATTTTAAAATTTTGCCTGTGTTTTTGTGTGTCTGTAGTGTAGCTCTGTTTCTACCTTTTTAATTTTTTCAGTTTCTACATATCAAGTCTAGTGCTTGTACTTGTTTATATTATTTTGTTTCTTTATCCAGTAGTGAATCTACCAATTCTTTATATGATGGTTTTTTCTTTTTTTTCCTGTGTCTGTCCTAGAGTCTATTGCTTGGAAGACTAGGCATAGATGATTTTGGGAGAATGTCTTGTCTTGATATGTAATAGCATAGTATAATCTTGACTTAGTTAGTTTATGTTATTGTTTCAACTAGTGCTGTCCTGTATAGCAGAACATTACATATGTACAATGTGGTAGTTTGGCACTTGGAATTGCAGAAAAACAGCATTTTCTTTAAAAAAGTGGTTTTTTCTATTTTGCTTTCCACCCTTTATTTGAAAATACAAACTTCTGATTTGGGGGCCAGGAAGGAGTTTCAAATGTTTTGCATTGCTCTAGAAAGTCTGAAGAATAAGTGATGCTGACTTGGACCTTCTGCAGTATCAATAGTACCCCATTATATGAAATTTTCAGTCTGTGAAGAATATATTGTTCTTCACATCCTTAACATAATAGAAGATACATAATGTTAAGTGTTTGACATACATTATTGCACTAAATCCTTACATAACCCTGTTAAGTATGACTATTAATAATCATTTTACAGATGAAGAAATTCAGGCTTAGAGACATTACATTTCATTGTGTAAAGACAAAATTTTATTTGGATATGTCTGACTCCAGAGTTTGCTCTCCGAACCATTATACTTGTACTAACTGCCCTTTATTGTGCTATACCACTTCTCAGATTGGTTTTGCATTCTTTCTGGCCTTGTAGTAATCTCTCAGTAGTCACAGATGATTTATGCCCTCAGTCAGTTTGTTTCACCAGCCTGGTCTCAGAAATCAAGCCTATCTTGATTCTGTTTTGTTTCCCCAACCATGGTGGGCCTGGTACCACTTTTTATACCACCCAATTGTTTCTGCCTCCTTTCTTACACAGCGTAGTCAGTCTTTCGCTAACTTAAGAAAGATAATTTGCTTATCTCAATTACCTCCTTTTCTCCATTAATTAGAAAAATGTTGATAGTATAGATGTTGCTTGATTTAATGTTTCAGGTAAACTTTCTGTAATGACAGAGAGCTGATGGGCATCTATTCTTACAATAGGACTTTGGATTTCCATGAGGCACTTTAAATTCAAATGCAAGACCACCAATTCTGTTCCTCTTTTTTTTTTAAGTTTACAATTTTAACCCCCCAAATAGGAGAATTACTAGCATTACTAGTGGGTCACTAGCATTAACAGTTGTTATTAGGGGAAATCTTCTAACTTGTGAATTTTAAATCATTCTTTAAGTTCACTTCCTTATACTTTAATTAGAAGGGACAGCCAAGAGTTACTTGAACCTGTCCTTTAGAGGAGCACCTGCTCAGCTGTTGACTAAAAACGGTCACTAGCCAAGGACTGGGGAAAAAAGAGGTGAACTGACAGTTGTTGAGAACTGGTGATGTGCTTGGCACTATATTTACATCATCTTTTTAAAAATTACTCCTTTTTATAAGATTTAGAGGAGAGTAGAAAATGGTAAGAAATGAATGAAAACCCTGTCATATATTTTTATAGGATTTACAAGACCAGCTAGAGGATATGATGGAAGATGCGAATGAAATCCAAGAAGCCCTGAGTCGTAGTTATGGCACCCCGGAGATAGATGAAGATGACCTCGAAGCAGGTAAGTTATGGGAAAAGCAGTGCATACGTAGCTTTAGAGTCTGAAATGGGAAACTGCCTAGGACCTTTCCCAAAGGCTAGAGAAAATTCCTGTGAGGGTTCCTTGTGAGATAGTTTATGGTACAGTCTCTGGGCAGAGAGCTTGTGAGGCAGACATATCAGACTTACATACTCCACCAACTCCGGAATGGACAAGCTCTGAAGGAAGGTCCACACAAAGACCTCTGCTGACCCGGTGCCTGGTATCTAAATACTGCCTTTCTCTGCCATTTTCCTTTTGATTTTGTTTTTCCTATTTTGCTACTTTGACTTCTCTCCCTAGGAACAGGAAAGCAAATCAAGAAACAGTAGTTGGCAAATACTTAATGTACATCTATATGAGGTGTGATGGAAGAATACAGTGAATGTTTAAGTTAAAAAAATTTTTTTGGGCTGGCCGTGTGACGCATTGGTTGAGTTGGCTTGAGACACCAGCTTTGAGCAGCAGGGCCGCAGTTCAGATCCCATATGAGGGCCAGTGACGCTGCGCCCTCTACAGCTAAGATGGTGAACAACAGTTCGACCTGGAGCTGGGCTGCCGTGAGTCGCCCGTGACAGTATATGCTATGTGCCATGCGCTATCGTGAGTGGCTGGCAGCCAGCATGAGCTGCCAGCAGCCGGCATGACTGCCGTGAGCTGCTGTGAGTGGCTGTCCAGTGGCCAGCAACTGATCTGCCTCAGCCGGGAAGAGCGCAATGATCACAATACCAACATGGGCCAGTGAAGCGACGTCCTCCACAACTAGACTGAACAACAAAAGGACAGCAACTTGTCTGTTCCCCTCCCCCAACTTCCCAATAAAATCTTTAAAAAAAAAAATTTTTTTTTTATAGTAAAAGACACATTGCCATTAATCCCCCTTAAAATACTCCCCCTCACTTCGAACAGACTTATCCCATCGTTCTTGCCACTTTCTGAAGCAGTTCTGGAAGTCCTCTTTCGTAGGAGTCTTTACTTCATCCTCCATCATGACAACGCTCCGTGTCACACATCGCTTCTGGTGTGACAATTTCTGTCAAATAAAAACATTACCATGTGTCCTCATCCACCTTAATTCACCGGATCTGGCACCGCATGACTTCTGGCTCTTCCTCAAAGTCAAATGATTCAGGACATCGAGGCAGCCACATCTGCGCAACTAAAGATACTCATGAAAGAGGACTTCCAGAACTGCTTCAGAAAATGGCAAGAACAATGGGATAAGTGTGTTTGAAGTGAGGGGAAGTATTCTGAGGGGGATTAATGTCTCTGTGTCTTTTACTGTAATGAATTTTTTTTATGTAAACATTCACTGTATGGTTTGATAACACCTCGTATGCCAGGCACTGTTGTTAGGTGCTGGGGATTCAGCATTGGAGAAAACAAATACGACCCCTTTATTTATGAAGCTTCTTGAGCAGGGGTAAGAAACTGCTGCTTGCAAGTAATTAATTATAGAAGCACAAATGTTTAGAGAAGCATGGACTACCAAAGGAGCACATAGATAGGGAATGTAATGTATTTGGGAGTGGGGGACAGGCTTGGGATCTGAAGGATGAGTAGGAGTTAGCAGGAAAAAATGGGAGGGATTATTGGGTGGCCTTAGGGAGAGGAGTTTAGAAACTATTGCTGTAATCCATTTAAGAGATGACAGTGTCTGAGACTAAGGTTGTGGTAGCAGAAAGACGTGAACAAATTGAAGAAATTTTAGGAGGTTGAATGGACAAAACTTAATTGATTGGCTGTGGAGGGAGAGGATGTCTGCCAATTTCTAGTACGAGTAACTGAGTACATGGCAGAACCACCCCACACTGGATTTTCTGTCACATGATACCCCTGTCACATTACTGCTGCTGCCTCTCTGTCCCCCTCCCTTCCTTTCTCTGTCTCTCTTTCTCTATGTTCTGTTTTTGCCTAGAACCTTTTCCCCCCATTCATTTCTTTATTTTCTTATTATCTAGAGATACCCCTGATGAGTCTCTATCTACTATTGTGATTCCTCTGGGTCACTTTAGACTCACTTTACTATAGACTTATATTTAAAGCCTGATTTCGCATAATGTCACTCAGTATACAACAATCTGTAGCCTCCTTTCACTGCCTTCTTGCAAGTTCATCAATAAATGGAAGATGATTTTACATTTGTTGTTATTAGGATTTTCTAATTTGAATTGGCCAACTGATAACCATAGAGTCTTCTCATGAAGACTGGGGCTTTATAAACTTGTGGGGAATGGTTGTTTTGTTTGTTTGATTTTGATTTTGGTTTTTCATAGATTTTACTAACATGAGTTCCCTTGAAAATTTCTTGTAATGCTCTTTTATTTTGAAAATAGAAATTAATAATCCCTTCCCCTTCATTTTTAAATGTTCATCTTATAAGTAATTGGGCTTTCCTAACATGAACTATCAGTATTCTTGTTACATATTTTTGAAATGTTGACTGTTTCAATCTCAGAATTGGATGCACTGGGCGATGAGCTCCTGGCAGATGAAGACAGTTCTTACTTGGATGAAGCAGCATCTGCACCTGCAATTCCAGAAGGTGTTCCCACTGACACAAAGAACAAGGTGGAAGCTCTTTCTGTTTATATTTTCTGCAAATTGTAAAGGTTTTATGCTTGATCACCAGCCTGGGAATCTAAAAGGTAGTTTTAAATTAGAACAAGTCAAGGCCGTCTCAGTCATTATTTGGGAACCCTTGCAATCCCAGTTCTCCTGTATTGGATTATGGACAGGCTGTGTAAATAGTGTCATGGAGACTCAGGAATGGTTTTATACAACAACAATTTGTAGAATATATGTAATTACCCTTGTTGTGAGCTGTATTGAGTGCCATTTGTAGGTTTTAGACATTTCTTGGAAAAGCATCAACCACACATGGATGAACTGAGCTAGGCAGCAGTGTAAAAGAAAGTTCTACAGACACACTGGTTAATTATAGGATGGATGTTTTTTAACTAGGGATTAATAATTTAAGTATAAAACTTAAGTAGAGGGCCGGCCGAGTGGCGTGTTGGTTAAGAACTGGCTTAGGATGCCAGAGGGCCCCAGTTCGGATCCCACATATGAGGGCCAGTGACACTGCCCTCTACAGCTAAGATGCTGAACAACAGCTCAACCTG